AAACTACTAAAATAACATTTGTACAGTAATTAGTGATGATATATATCTACAAGATCACCTGTTCCAAGTGCCCATCTATTAAGGGCCAACAGAAAAGGCACGTTACAGGTTCCTTCTATTAGGAGCTATCCTAAGACAATTTCTTATTCTCTCTTTATCAGTGTTTCTTAGCCTTGGCAACTTTAAGCCATATGGACTTCAACATGCTAATTGGGGAAATTCTGTTGGCTCAAGGTTCTTGAGAATTCTTGGCTTAAAGTTACCAAGGTCGAGAAACACTGCTCTATATATACATGTGTGAGGTAGAGAGGAGAAGTGGGTTTCACACAAAGAGAGGTACTAAACATTCTGACCTCAAAATGGGCAAATCTGAGTTCTGGCAGTTTATTTGATGTCCCAAAAAGCATTCAGAAAATATTGCTGGACATCTGGAATTGACCCATTTCATGGTTGGCCCATTTCTGAAACACCTCTTTTGGAGTCAGAATAGTCCCTCAAGTCTATAGTCCAAATTGCAGGTATTCTATGAAGGAAGATTTAATATAGATATGCTTTACAAGTTGACATAGATACTGTAATGTGAATCCTTGTTTAATGGCATCCTTATTTCTATAATTTAAACACCGGACGGTTATTTTAAACTGTTCAAATGACAGAATGGGAAGGATGCTATTTATAAATGGCAATTAAAATTCTGCGCAATATTTATTAAATAAATCTGTAACCTTGAGCTCTAAATCAGCTATAAAAAATATTCTGGAAAACTGAAATTTCTTACCGACAAGGGATATTCCTGGAAGAGTTTAATTAAACTGGTTTTGAAGAATATGCATCTGGATTAAGCAACATGGAAATTGTTGATGGCACCTTAGGGCTAATGATATTAGTGAGCATTATAGTAATAAATGGGTGATATTAGTTGTTCTGAATGGTATGGTATTGATTTGTGCCATTCATCTTCTTCTGATTTGCTGAAGAACTGAGCTTTTTATAATGCTAATGGAAATTAAGAGCTTTACAACATAGCACATGGACATATCTTAGCAACCAAGCACTTAGGAAGCATTGAAATATAAATACACATGTATTCATTCCTTGATTAGTTTTGGGGCAGACCATGTGAAGGCTCGTACATCTCTCTCTCTCTCTCTCTCTCTCTCTCCCCCCCCCCCCCCCCAATTTATATATTTTATCTTGGTCCTATAATTAAACTTTTTAGGCTGCTAATCCAATTAAAGCAGTTTTACAATGCCAACAATAAAATAAGTAACATAAATCTGCTGCAGTGCTAATACTCCAGATCAAAACAATCTGTAAAAGTGTCTAATAAAAGCATTACCAACAATACAATTGAAAAATTATATGAGTAGGTTAAGTCCTTGAAAAATAATATTAAAATCTTGGCATGGCATGAAAGTACTATAGCATAGGCATTATGTGATCCTCCTTAAGGCAAAGTCTGTCCATAGCCAAAGCGCCAATCATGGAAAAACCTTGTTAATTATAGTTACATATTATTCTTTATGTCTAATCTCAGTTAGCACAGCCACTATCTATATCAGTTGATGTTTTCAAAATGATGTCTCTATTGTAATAGTCTTTATTTTATTTTTGTAAGCTGCTCAGAGCCATAGAGATTGACTTGAGTGGTCATGTAAATATTCTTCAATAAAATAAATAAATAATCAAGAAGAGTGATTTGAGCGGTGATATAAATTTTCCCATATAAAATAACTAAATAGTTCAAATGGGAGATATCAGTCTGTAAAAAACTAAAATAAGCCTAAAGGTAAAGGTTTCCCTGTCCTGACTTTAAAGTCTCTGACTTTAGGGGGCACTGCTCATCTCCATTTTCTACAAGAAAACTGAACCTGGGTAAAGACTTATTTTAATGAGTAAGGTGTTCTGTTTTGTTTTTTAAAAGCTTCCATAAAGGAAATTACTACTTGTTTACTGTTGCCTTTCAATTAAAAAGTATGCTCAAAAATAACAATAAAATACAATAAAGCATTATCTTGTTCCTATCTATACTGCATATTTTATTCTGTTTTCTAGGCCTGAGAGGAGAGGGGAACACTGATAAAATAAAAAATAATCACAGGTATGGATATCGTTTAGTGGGATGGATGCCAACTCCCAAAATTCTGAACAATAGTCATGCTCGCTGAGGAAATCTCTGAATTGAAACTCATATATCTGAAGCTATGCACTTTCTGGAGAAGGTTGCTTGAGGTCACCATCCCATGACCTCCACGCATGAAGTTCTGCTGGAAGGAAATCTCTCATCTTCCTTGTCTATGTGCCACAAGAAGCACTTGGTTTCTTAACCTGGAATCTGCTTTTTTTTTTTTTTACTTTATTTCACTAAAGTGTTACAGGGATTATTCAATAATTTATGCTCATACTACAATTTATGTCATGCCTGGAAATGGTAGCTGATCTTAACTAAGTTGGAAAAATGCAAAGAGACTATCCTTGTTTCTGGAGACAAGCTGTTGGAGAGGAGAAGGGCCATAATCGTCACATGGTAAAAGAAGTGATGATTATGAATTCTGAAATATAGTCACGAACGGGGACACAACAGTATGAATGTACAGTTCCTCCCACAAAACTGTCATATTGCAACCCTCCATTCTCCACCACAAATGCTCATGTCTGTTGCGTTCTCCTTCATCTGGATTTTTCAACTCAACGTGGCTCGAAAGCAAAACAATGCAATTTAAGAATTTACCAAATTAAATCCTGCCCCTCAATGTTATTATTATTTGGGAAGTGTAGGGAAATAAAGTTGTCTATTTCCAAGTAAATGACCTTGTAAAAACACGTTCGTTTCCTAAAAAACACCCATTTCAAAAAGATAATCTAGACATATAAAATTATTATCTAGCCTAACTACTAAAATAGCTGCTTTATGCTTCATGAAACAATAATTAATTTGGTATAGAGAGTTTTCTTCCATTTTTATTAATGATACCATGTGGCTAATAATATAGAGCTAATCCAGTGATGGACTGCTGCCAGTTAGGACCGATTCTAGCGAATCATGAGTTGCGGTGAGCAGTTGGCCCCGCCCACCCACTCCACCCTTTCCTGTCCTATATTTCCCCTTTTTTAGCTCAGCTGATTTGCGTGGCACAATGGATTACCACACCTCAGCTGTTTTATTCACCAGCGCTGATATAGAAGGTAAGTTTTTAAGCTTAAAATGGGCGGTTTTTGAATGCTGTGCATGCGCTCAATTGTTATGAACCAATTCTTAAACCGGTTGCAGCCCACCACTGGGCTAATCCTATACTGCTTTATGGGTTAAGAAACTGTTTTTTTTTTCACAGCTTAGATAAGATCAGCTACCATTTTCCAGGCATAAATTGTAAAACCAAATGGAAATTACAACTTTTACAACTGCATCAGAGAAAGGGCAAAACATATGCCTGAAGCTCAAAGTGACTCCTTCCTATCATGGATAGGTTATCATGGTAGCTGATGCAGCCAGCCTCTGCATTAAACCGAATACCAAGGAATATTGAGGGTTATTTTGAGAACAGCTCAGAATGATGTTATATAAATCTAAATTATATAAGTCATTTAGACTTAACAAGATCATGATACATCTTTCAAAGAAAATCAATTCAAATTTAAACACATAAAACAGTCTGGACAAAAAGGAAATTAAACAAATTCCAACCCAGCAAAAAAAAAAAAAAAAGGACAAGATAAATTAACTGAAACGGTCTCATAGAAGCAATCATAGAAGGATTTTAAGGTTTTAAGGTGTGAGGTAGATGAAAGGTTTCGTGCCCAAGGTTAATTCACAAAATTGACTTAATTCAGAATAAATGACGGGACGTAGCCATGGGGTACTAGCCAATCTGATATCAACTTGCAATCTTTTCCAGCTTTAAACTGACAGGCAACAAAGGAAAAGATGATCTTATCTATAAAAAAAGAACCCTTCATGTCTAAAAGGACAATTGAGATAGGAAGCTCCAAGAGCATAGCATATTCTTACAAAGCAAGACAAGAATGCAAAGGTTTATTAGAAAAGCAGCGTCACAGACACAAGCCTATATCTGCATGCATTATATTCTTGAATTAGGGCCAATAAATAAAATGCCTGTTAGATACATATTAAAAAGCACAGAACATTACACTCCCCTGATAGTTTGCACTCACTGAAGACATAGTATGGAAATGAGAATGGGCAGTTTTGAAAGCTGCTAGAATATTCTTAAAAAAGATTCTGAAATAGGCTATGTAAAACCTTGGTCCCATTGGCCATTGAGTGGAAATACTGTTGGATGTGAAAATCCATGAAATCCAAATATACATAATTCATACAAATGATAGACAACATGAGTTGCGTCCGCTTACTTCTTTTGTACAATTATGTAATTATGCAGATGACATGAATTGATATGTCAGTTGTTTGGATGGTTTCCAAAAAAGGAAGAGGGAGTTTTGTTTATTGTTTGGGAGCAAAAATCCAAAATACATTTTTGTTCATTGCATCTGGGGTTTCTTGAATTGAGGTTTTAATATAGAGGGTTTTAAGGATCCCTTTTAGGATACTAAGTAAGTTTCAGCTGATATTATTGCTTTCTTGAAATATTGCTGAATTTTGACATTATGCATAACCCAAGAGACATAATGGTTTTTTAAATATACACATTTAAAGAGATTTTTAATAGGTTTTTTTTTTTTAGAGGATGCTGAAGCATAAAAAGTATCTGTATTTTAAAATATTGTTTTGACCGTACACATACACACATACTAATGCTATTTCCCAAAGAAATATTTTCAAAACTGCTTTAAAAGGTAGTCTGGAATTGTTCTGTTTAAAACATTCTTGATCTCTCCTTACCTTTTTGCATTATCTATTAATGACCTATTAATTCTGAAGTTCAATTAAACTGCAAAATTCTCAAATGGCTCTTCTTTTTTTCCCCCCCTTTTACTTCATAGCACACAGCAACTAACAAGCAAATGCAGAAAATGCTCACGTGATATAACACTGTCCATATACTGGGGTAAATAAGGAGCCCAGGTATCAATGGCTTCCTTCCTGCCCGCCTGTTCAATTCTCCTCAGCTCTGCTAATAGTAAGGCTTGTGCAGCTTCTCTTACCTGAAAATCCAAACAGAACAGGGCATTGGTTCAATTAAAGCACTGGAATAATTGTAGAAAAAAGGTGCAATAAACATTAATTGTAACTTATCAGAGGGGGTCTAGTAGCACTTTTCCCAGTGTGTAAAGTATAAGCTTTTATGAGCTTTTCTTGCCTTTTAAGGACATTGGTGGGGTGAAAAAGGTATTATCAGATTCTTTTTTTTTTTTTTTTGGTAGACAAAGCTCTCCTCCAATAGCAATAGCATTTGGACTTATATACCGCTCCATAGTGCTTTATAGCCCTCTTTAAGAGGGTCTATGAAATTCTCCGTGGCCAAATGGCCATGGCCAACTCACCATAGCCAACTTGCTGTGGCCATCTCACTGCAGCCAACTCTCCACAGGACAACTTTCCATGGTCAACTTTCCATGAGACAACTTACTGCAGGGCAAGAGTTACACTATCGAAGAAATGGTGTGATAGAAACATTAAAGAAAGGATGCACAAGGAAGGACAGAACGAAATGTGAATGGCCAAAATTAAAATGCGATTTTAACATCGCTGAGACTGGAGCCTGTTTTTGTGTCTTAAGAATGAAGTAACTTGTGGCATTTTCTTGCTCATTTCCCCCCACCCCTCCCTGCCTGTTTTCTATGCAGTTTAATAATAGCCTTTTCCACAGAATAATCAGCTATTTTACTAATTTGTTTTCTAGCAAAGCATTGTACTCAAGTCACTTAATACCAATGAAAGATAAGTTCACGTGCTTGGAACATAAAATGTATTCCTAGCAGACGAATTTTTTTAAAAAATACATTTTTATTTATTTTAAATAATTAAATTGAATTGTTAAATTGTTCTGCAGTGAATTGGTCATGCTGAGTTGGCTGCGGTGAATTGGCTGCGGCAAGCTGTCCCATTCTGTGTCTAAGACATTTACAGAGTCAGCATATTGCCCCAACAATCTGGCTCCTCATTTTACTGACCTCAGAAAGATGGAAGACTGAGTCAACTTTGAGCCAGTCAGGATTGAACTGCGGCAGCGGCAGCCTGCAATACTGCATTCTAACCACTGCGCCACCAAGGCTCTAACAAAAAAAAAATTATCAACTAACCTGAGAGCAACCTGTGCTGTATTTGATAAGAGACATAATATAAAAAGATTCTTTGTAAAATTGAGCACTGAAGGAATAGGACATTTTTCTACTTCCCCAATGCTGTTGACGCTGACGAAAGAACCACATTGACACAGAACGCCAACACTTTTTTAAATAGCAAAAATACTTTTTTAAATAGCAAAAAAAATAATAATAGCAAAAATAGCAAAAATATATGCTGCCATTTTATCCACGGGACATGATGGCAGGCGTAACCAAACAGTTTTGAGGGTTTTTTGAATAATCAGGTCCACTTATTTACATTGAGATTGGCTTTTGCCGAAGGATTCCCAAAGGTTCCAACAGTTACTCTCCCAGGCCAGTTTCTCTGATATGTTGAGACAGAGAGACAAATTTCCTACTCCGCACAGACCTGGATTTCACCATCACTATACAACGTCAGCAATAGTTTTTCAATTAAGCTGAGACGCCAACTCAACCCCCTACTGTAAATGTCACAGATTGGCTCCTCATATATTTCTTTTAAAGCTGCACAATCAACACTTTTCCCCTTTCCTCTTTTTGCCATAACAGCACAGATGTAATGTCAAGGCCAGATAGTCATTGATCAAAAATAGGGGACGCCAACTCCATTTGCCAGCTAGAGAAGTTACTCAGCAATTTCACCCTAGAAACTGGCCTAAAATAGAATGTCTTTTGCTTTGTTAAAACCACATCTAGCTTTTGAAAACAGCCAAATCCTTCTTAACAAATGCGAGTCCTTCCTATCTATCTATCTATCTATCTATCTATCTATCTATCTATCTATCTATCTATCTATCTAATTTCTCCCTGTCACTATTAGGTGCTTAAATAATTTTAAAATATTTCAAATTTTAAAATATTTCTGAGAGTGGGAAAAAATCTGAATTAAAAGCCACATAGAAGATAGTATTTTTTACCCAGGGTTGAAACGAGGGATCCTTGGTGCTCTTCTGAGCTTGGTTGTTTTCTTGCAAGACATTTCATTGCCAAACTAGCTAACGTCATCAGTGCATCTGATGACGCTACCTAATTTGGATAATGAAACATCTGCAAGAAAACGATCAAACTCAGAGAGCATCAGTGACTCTTAAATGCAACATTTCATGGATGTACAATCAGGCCAATTTCCTGCACAGTGATATTAAAGTGTTCCGTTCTCTATAGACGTGCCTCCTTCCATCTTACTTTTAAAATTAAGCATAGTATTGAAAAGTATTAAAAATAAATTTGCAGCAGTTATTGAACTGCTGATGCATGAACAGTAAACTAGCTGTGGTTTAATTCAAATACTGGAAGCTGTGTGTAGTTGATGGAAACAGGACCTTTCCTTTTATGACTAAAACTTCCACATATTTTGATGGAACAACGGTGACATCCAGTGGCTGGGAAAAAAAATCCACTGTGTCTTCTTCTCTGAAGTCTATTTTCCCATTTAACCAGAATATACGATTGCCACACAGGGATGTTAACTCTCCATTTTACAAAACTGACCTGCAAATTGAATTGCATATACCATATATATAAATCCAACCTTTAAACCAGAATTATAGTACCCTTTTCTTGGAACAATATATCCAGTGTAAAAATAGTATTCCCTGTGCTGGCCAAGAGATTCATTTTTCCCTAACTGCCATCTTCAATAAAAAACTGTACCTCCAAGCATCGATCTTGCCATCTACGAGCCAACATTTCAAGGAGAGGTGGTCTAAATTGATCCAGGCCCAACAGGTCAGGTAGCATAACACAATGCATAGCAGCGAGCTGACTCCATCCTGTTAAGACACAGGCAAAAACACAACAATCACAATAGCAGAGGTAGTGAAAAACTGCTATATTTACTAGCAACCATAAGAACATTTCTCTATCCAGAACTTGCAATGGGTTGTCTGAATACAAGAAATACTTTTCAGAATAAATAAGGCTGAAGTTACACTAAGTGAGAAAGCTAAAAGCAATATATGACCGTAATTGAATACACAGTAATCTTTCTAATCATTTTAGGCAATCAGTTAATTGAAATACATATTAACTATAACGTACTGTTATTCACTTTTATTAGGGTATTTTTGCTTCCCTCCTTACCTGGTATGAATAATTGCTACTTACCTCATCTGAATTTTAGAATATAACCTTTTCAGAAAGAGCAACTTCCAATTTCACTCCAAAAACAAATTATTGTTAATAATCATCTTTCCAAAATTGTACGTTTGCAATATGTTTTTAACCTACTTTTTATCGTAGTGTTGAGATAATGCAGTATGTGAAGATGATCAACAGAATACTGCTTTATTTTTTCCTTTCTCTTTACCCCATTCCTACTGGAGATTGGGATCTGTAGCCCTGTCAAAATCTAATCTCATATGCCACTGCTATAAAAAGATTGAACTTAGATCCAAAAGATGCACTTCCACCTGAGAAAAGGTTCTGTAGCTCAAAGAAACTATGAATACAAATATAAAAAAATGAAAACTATAACCATTACATTCTCATTCTCATATCTCTCTCTCTCTTTCTCTGTGTGTGTGTGTGTGTGTGTGTGTGTGAGAGAGAGAGAGAGAGAGAAAGAGAGAGAGAGAGAGACAGAGAGACAGAGAGATATCATTTGCTGAGAAATGAAATAAATAAACAAATAATGTTAAACCACTTTTTGTTTAGTGGAGATTTTGAACAGTTGAAATAGAAAATCATTATAAAATATAATCCATGAGTAATTCCTGATTAATTCTGAGAACTTGCAAATGAATGCATCCACTTTCTCTTTCCCTCACACAAATGAAAACAACAGTTAATGCTATTGGCAGGGGTGTCCAACCTTGGCAACTTTTAGACTTATGGACTTCAACACTCAAAATGCCCCATCTAGCATAGCTGGCTGGGGAATTCTGGGAGTTGAAGTCCAGAGGTCTTAAAGTTGCCAAGGTTGGGCATCCCCGGTATAGGGTATTGGGACAGGATATTTAAATATTTGAACTGGGTTTGCTGCTTAAAAATAACAAGGGATTGTATGGCAACAACTATAAATGGGGACATGGAGAGAACATTCATAACCTTCCGCTGGTAATTCTCCACTTTTTCTTCCGTCTCTAAAATTCCTTTAAACATTCCTTTTTTATAAGTCTGAAATGTAATAAAAGATAAGAAAACAGTCTTTTCAGTATCTTGAAAAGGTTGCTATTGTGGTTGGCAGGAATATTAGGCATGTACCTGCCTTAACTTATGTAAAGATAAAAAGAAAGTATAAAATAATAATTAATAGCTGGATAAAAATGCCAAATCCAGTCTAAACATCTGGCTGACTGCGATGAACCATAATAACAGATAAATAAACTAGGCCGTAATATAAATCTATTTAGTGGAAATTTATGAGCAGGATCAGAGGCAATATGTAATAGAAATTAAACAATCCAGAGTACAACTATACACTAGCTATTAAATCTATAAGATAAAGACATATACTGCTACATTCAATGTTTAAATAAACCATTAAAAGTGTAAGTTCAGCGCTGGTTATCATGGACACCAATCCATTATTTTTTAAAAGGAATTGATTTCACAATAAATTTATTGCTGTGCCAATATACAAGAGTCTAGATGTTGTATTGTCTATTTTTATTCATAATTTTATAAAACTGAAACTCCAGCAACTTTTCAGTCCAAGAAAAGATAGGATCAGGTTGACAAGGAGTATAAACACAAAGGCAGATGCAATTTTCCCACTCAGCTCAGAGAAGCCAACTTTAGAAGATATCTGAAGGGTGAGTTAAATTGTCGCTGGATCTCTGACTGGGTGCCCCAACTGGAGAAAGTCTAGATGGCAAAGGAAGGAAAGAGAATTCCAAAGGTGCTTTCCTAAAAGGCAACTGGATTTGGGGTTTTTTTTTCCCTTGAAAATGTTTCACTTCTCATGTAAGAAGCTTACTGAATTTGGGACAACCATGACCTGGATGACTGAGAATCTCCATTGAAGGAGAAAGAAATAAGTCACCAGCGCCATCCTTCTGTTTCAGGAGCTGCAGTTATCACTAGTCAAAAGAAGCAGAAGCAACACAGCAGGTTTCACCACAAGGGGAGGTGCAAGGTGAAGCCATGTTGTGGCATTGTCCCGGGGACTTGGTTGCTAGTGTTGTGTTTCTATGAGTGTGAGTTGTGAGGCCCTTGCACTATATGCCTCTGTTTGGTTAACCTCTACCTACTCCTTTGAGAGGAGTCAGGGGAGAAGCAAAGGGTTCCCCTCCTTTACGTGTTCACAGCTTGGGTATGAGGGAAGAGGGCATCTGTGAAAGACTGAAAAGATTGAAAGGGAGAAAAGAAAGACTGAGAAAGGGTGGAGGGAGGGAGGGAGGGAGGGAAGACAGGGAGGGAGGGAGGAGAGAAGGAAGGACAGGGAGGAAGGGAAGGAGGAAGGAAGGACTGGGAAGGAGGGAGGAAGGGAGGAAGGAAGGACACAGAGGGAGGACAGGAAGGGAGGGAGGGAGGGAGGGAGGGAGGAAGGAAAGGAGGAAGGAAGGAAGACAAGCAACCTTTTCTCAGCCTTGACCCATGTCATTGTTAAAGGGATCCTGATGTAACTTGGTGATTTTGGCGATTTTGAGAGGGCAATAAGGTTCCTTCGAGGAAAAACCTAGGAAGAGTTTCTTTGGGGCCATCAGAGCTAAGGAGAGAATGAGCTGCATCAACCATGGTTGTAAAAGGCTGGGGGGGGGGAGAAGAGAGAGCAATTCTGTGATTGTTCTGAAAAAAAACAAAAAACCCTGAAGCTTCTGTTTGAAAAACTTCTGCCTACAGTAGACCATCTGCTCTTCTGATGGTGTATCACTTGGCCAGACTTGGGCTGTTGGGAGTTACAACTGTGCAACATTTGTCGGGCTGCAGATTATAGATTGACATTTAACTGTTAAGTTTAAATAAACTATTCCTCGTGCAGTGCTTGTAATCATCTAAATCTGGCTTAGAATCAAGAGGTTTCAGAGAAAACTCGTTTATCCTAATAAAACTGAGATATGTTACCCCTGAACTGTAAGGGTGTCCATTTAGCTCCACTCCATGGCAGATTCTGTAATTAACCCTAGAGGAGACTGGACTGCTGCTGCTGATTAGAGAAAAGCGTGGATCTAACAATAACTCAATTAAATTGTTCTTGGCATGACAAGAACATGGTAAGATATAATAAGGTATTAAGTTGTAAAACCACCTTTATTATTTGTTAAAATGATTATATTCTGAATAATTTACATCAATAATTGAAAGTCAGTCAATACATTATATGTCTCAACCTTATCAATCTCAAGATGTGTAGACTTCAACACCCAGAATTCATGCCTGCCTGGGGGAATTCTGGGTGTTGAAGTCCATACATCTTTAAGATTGATAAGATTGAAACACACTATTATAGGGTGACATACAGCATCCGGGTTTTTTATTTCAATTTCAGTCTTCCAAATCTTTTCTGGGAGGTACTCCTTGAAATCCATTCCACTGGGAGACAGACACAATTAGAAGCTATACACACCCCAGCCAATACATGAACGCACAGTGTATGTTTTACAAATGATTTAAAACCAATACATTTTTTTGGGAAAACATTTGATTCCACTGATCCTGACCAAGTGAAGTTTTTATTTGTTGGAACATCACACATTAAATTGTTATTTAATTAGTATATATTGGTTAAATGTAATTCTGAAACAGACTTGCAAAATGCAAAGCTTTTCTAAAACCATTCAATGCCGTATCATCAACCAACCATTGAAATTTTCTTTAAAAAATATTGTTTGAATTCAAACTATTAAAAACATCGTCAATCAGGATATTAACTAAATTGCATTTGTCATCCTCTGGCCTTTCACTTCACTTACATAAAAGAGAGTTAAGAAATTTTGAAATGTGTGGTCCTAGGTGCTCTCTGAACTTGGTTGTTTTCTTGCAGACGTTTCATTACCCAAATAGGCAATGTCATCAGTGCCTCAGTTACCTAGTTTGATAATGAGATATCTGTAAGAAAACGATCAAGCTCAAAAAGCACCAAAAAAAAAAAAAAACCAGAGTTCAACCTTAATCTACAATATTCCCTTCTATTGAAACTTTAAAAATCTCTGCAATCTTATAATCTAATACCTAACATTGCATATGGTTGTCATGACAGGATCAGCCTGCAAAGGCAGAGAAAATGAATTCGTTTTAATGAACTAAATGGAGTATGAGTTATAAGTAAAGTTTGCTTAGTGAATGAATTTATTAGTTTTAAATAAAAGTTGCTAAGTGAATTTAAATTGTTTGGAGAAAGGATGCGTCTACTGAGAGAGGCATACAACACAACCAGAGAGCAAGTCAGACAAAAGAAAGAAGAAGAAACAAAAAAAGAGGTAAAGTAGAAAGAAGAGTGGTGAGAATACCTTCGTTTACTAAGAAACAGGAATGTAAAGGAGGAGCAGAGCCAGAACGATCAGCTTCAGTGCTAGCAGAAACACCGGGAGCAACTTGAGCAGAAAAAGAAGAAATAAAAGAGGAAAATGAAGAAAGACATTTCCAGAAATGAAAAAAAAAATTGGTTAGTATTTTTAAAAGAACAAGAGTAAAACCAAAATCTCTATATTAACTGAAACACTATAAAAGAATCAGCTTTTAAGAAATGTATCCAGGAGAGAAAAAGTTAGTCAGTTATAAATTAGCTGGTTACTCGGGTACCCCAGAATGTGATTTGCAGACACCCTTTGCCAGAGGTGCCAAATATATTTGTCCATAGACTGATCTAAGCCGTGGTTTGTTTAACAAT